ATTTTTTAAGATCTAAGCAACGCTTGTGTGTATGTTCTCGAAACTCAAAAGAAGCTTTTTAGTTCCAAAAGTTCAATAAGGCTTGTTTGCCTTCTCCCACTGCAGTTGCAAATCAATTGGCTGCCGTCAATAGGGTTTTGTGCATTTTATAATTAATTTGAAAATATCACACACAGTATTTTATTGCGACACAGTCAAGACTTTTTCGACTCGAAAACGTACCAGTCGCCAATTTTCAAGACCTTCCACATTTGTCCTTTTTTTGTTACAAATTGGCAATAAAGTTCTCGATAAGTTTGATAAATGGAGTATGATTAAGTTTTCGCTTTTGAAATAGTTCAAAAGACCAATGTCATTCGTCTTACACGTGCGAAAGACTGTTGTTCTTTGAAATACAACTGGAATGAATTCAACTTTTTCGACTGGAACTACTCATCGTAATCGAAAACTCTCCAAAGAGTGAGATTAGGGACTTTATGGGCTAAATTTGGTAATACGACTAAACTGTATATCGTTGACAATTTTTTTGAATAGGCAGTCAAAATATAATTGACTTCTGTCACTGAACTCATAGCTATCCTGAGGCAAAGATTATATTTCATCAATTCAATAATAAGTCTTAAAATTAAGGCGAAAAAAGAGTTTGGGGATTGAATAATGAGATTTTCATGTAAACATCAACGTCAGGTTATAGGTATTTATGTTATTTAAATCATTGCATTAAACCCCAAACTTATACTCTAAACTTGAAAAAGACAAGGTTTTGGGGTTTACCACGAATGTTCATAATGGAGTGAAATGAACTTAATTACTTACTCAGATACTTAGATGGCCTGTCTTCACTTGTCGTGCAGGCCACAGCACTGTCATCCGTTTCTGTCTCTCGCTCGCGTCATCCACAATGTTGGTATTGAACTGCGGCGGCGACGTTCGCGAGGTCCAAATCCATTACTCATAATTAGCTGAGAACTCAGCTGGTCCATCGTGTAACGAATACGTCAGCCCATCTCGGTGGCCTTCCTCGAGGGCGTTTTGCTTCGCGAGGAATCCATTCCAGAGTTCTTAGTGTCCATCTGTCGTCTGTCCTTCTCATTATATGACCAGCCCATTGATGCTTGGCTTAGAGACGTATTCCGCTGGATCACGAAGACGAGACATTGATCTCATATCTGAACTGCGAAGTCCGACG